GCATTTTTGAGATTGCTCCTCGAGAGAATGTCATTTTCATTTCTCCATGGCAACAAGAGCGTCTGCCTTTTCTGAAGCCACTGGGGAGAGGCTGGTGTCATCTGCATACTAACTGGGAAAATAACGCACATGGCACCGCCTAAGATTGTGCGGAGAGAAACCGCAGTCCTGGCCTTACCCTCAGTGCAAGTAGGAGTTTTGAATTTAATCAGTGCATTCACATGAAAACCTCCCAGAAGACAAGATTTAGCCTAACTATTGGCTGATCCCCTTAAATTAAGCATTTGCCCATATTTTCATACTTCCACTGGCTGTTTTTCTGTGAGTTCAAGACACAGGCCTATGTGCACACCAGTGTCAGCAGCTAAAGGAATTCTCATTGACACAGACACAGAACGGGGACGGTACTCGGAACGCACACGTGCTGGAGGTAAGTGGTCGACGTTCCGACTCGGCCTGTCGGGGAGGTGGCTTTTGGGCGGTTACTCTGTGACTTTTGCATAAAAAGTCGTTCCTTTAGGTGTGGCTCGTGAAAATAGAGCAGGTGTTGAAGTACCTCTAGTCCAAGGTGCTGTGTCTGTGTGAGGCCCCAAAAGCGCCGTGCCCCTGTCCACGACCACTGATAATCCCGCTGCGTGGTTTCAATCAGTGTTAACGAATTAAATGATGGAGGAACTGCTGTGCGTTGCTCTTGTCATTTGTTGGAGAGTGCAAACAGAGCTCCTCGGTCGGTCGATTTATTTTCTCTCCGCGGAGGACTGGAGCACCCTGACCGGAGCGGGCCGGAGGGGCCGTGGGGGCCTGGTTCCTGCAGCAGGGCCCGGTTTGCCCATGGCCCACCTTTCATGGCCCGGAGGGGGCGCCCAGCCGAGCCTGGGGGGGCAGGAAGGCGCCCAGGATCGGCGCAGGGATGGTGAGGAGGACTGGCCGCAGCGGGGGGCTGCCTGAGGTGGAGAGAACATTGGGCGAGAGTGCGGGAGCGCGAACGGGAACCGGCTGGCCGGGGTGCAGGTCTCGACTCTGGTGCGGCCTGGACCGCGCCCGGCAAGCAGTCCCCTCGCACAGGTCACCTGTCGCCTCTGTGGGTCGCTCAGCAGCGTCGCTCACATGCTGTGCTCTGGGCGAGGGGTTTCACCATAGGGTTGTCCTGTAGAGTTTGCCCTCACATGTCAGGAAAGGTTTTTGCCGGGAAAAATGAAACCAGCCAACCGCGCCCTGGGAGCTGTCCTGGTCCAGATAAAGGGGGCAGGGGCTTCCTGCTGGGGCACAGGGGGGGTGTGTGAGCGTGTTGGGGGGCATTGAGGCGCATCTTCGATGGCTCCTTCCCACTCTCAACCCCAAACTACATTCCTCGCCCAGTGGAGGGCTTTTGATTTTAAAAATAAGCCAAAAAAAACACCCCTCCCACATTAAGAGCTTTAGTAGTTTTTGGTTTCATTTTTGGTTTTTTGTTTAGTTTTGGGGTGGGGGACTGGTGTTTGCAGTGATTTTGCGAGGATGAAGGGAGACCCACGGCTCGTTCTGCCTCGTGGCTTTTAAATAAGATAGCGATGCTCCTCCCGAGCCCTGACTCCCCGGGGTGCGGCCACTCCAGGCCCCGCNATGCTCCTCCCGAGCCCTGACTCCCCGGGATGCGGCCACTCCAGGCCCCGGGCCTCTGTCCCTTCTCTGCCCCCAGGCTTCCTCTGTCCTGTTTTCCCCACCTCGGCTCCCTCTTTTTCACTCCAGCTGGCACACGGCTCTGAGGTCCAGTCCATTTCTCTCAAGGATAAAAGGGAAATGCCTCTGGGCTGCGGGAGAGCCACCGCCTCCAGTCTCACCGCTCGTGCCCGCGGACAGACCGGCCGACCCGCGTCACTGCTGTGTAGTGGACGCCCTGCCCCGCTTCCCTACTTCTCTGGAACCCGGCCCACTCCGGGATTATTCCAGAAACGGGCTCCTTCCAGGCCCCTGTCCGCGTCTCTCAGGCGGATCAGCAATTTATGAAGCTTCACTCTGAGCCACGTTCCTTCCGTGGCCAGAACTGAAGACCCAGGGCGGGGGAAGGGTGCCCGGCTCCCGGCAGGGNAGGGGTGCCCGGCTCCCGGGCAGGCTTCCCTGACAGCCCAGCTCCCCAGGGGGGCCAGGACCCGCCCGTCCGCATCTCTGCTCCCCGCAGACCTCCCCGCTCTCCACCCATCAGCCCACAAGCCCACCTAGGCCCCGGCTTCGACCCCCACTGTCCTTGGGGTGTCAGGAAGCAGGAGAATCTCATGCTACCTGAGGGTTGTTTTCAGGTCAGGAGGACAGGGCAGCTCAGGGCCCCTGGCGAGAAGGTGCCTCTGGGCCTCTGGTCATTGTTTACACCTTCGAGAGTCAACAAAGAGTTTAACAGCCCAGGTCCCTGGGGCGCGGCCGCCCCACCTGGAAGCCGGGGGANCTGGTCATTGTTTACACCTTCGAGAGTCAACAAAGAGTTTAACAGCCCAGGTCCTGGGGCGTGGCCGCCCCACCTGGAAGCCGGGGTTNAAAGAGTTTAACAGCCCAGGTCCCTGGGGCGCGGCCGCCCCACCTGGAAGCCGGGGGAGGGAAGGCCCCTGTGCTGACCCCCAAGCAGCCCCCTACCTGTGTTCTTCAAAGAGGCACCCACTGAAAAATGTCCTGAAAACAACCCTATCTTCCCAGGGAAAAGAAATATTTGTATGAGAGGGTCACAGACGCTTTTAGATAAATTTCTGTAGCCCTTCCAGAGGCTGAGCCCACAAACGTGTCCACCGATTTACATTTTTAAAAAGGAAGCGTGTTGCTTTAACATGATCTGGAACCCAGCCTCCTAGAAGTGCCATTACGCTCCCAAAGGGTTGGCCCGGGGTCCGAACATGGTTGCTAGAAGTATAAACGTCTCCCGGGTATCCTTCCACCGTGGTGACTGAGCTCTTTCGTTTTCAGTGGTGTTCACTTGCTGGTTGTAGAAATGGAGACAGACCCAGGGTCTGCTCCAGGCCTGAGCCCCCGGGCTGCGTGGCAAAGACCCCGGAAGGCTCACGTGGCATCGCGTGGGGGTGTGCACCCAAAAGACAAGGAGGGGCTGGCCAGTGTGGCTCAGTGGTTGAGCGTCACCCCAGGAACCAAGAGGCCACCGGTTGGGTTCCCGGTCAGGGCACATGCGTGGGTTTGGGGCTCGATCCCCAGTAGGGGGGGTGCAGGAGGCAGCTGATTGAGTTTCTCACATCAATGTTTTTCTCTTTCTCCCTTCTTTCTCTCTCTAAAAATCAATAAAAATTGGAAGACAGCTGCAAAATTTGTGGTTTATAACCAGATAAAGGCTTGGTTGACATTTGCTCCAAACTCAATTTTTTCTTAATAACTTCAACAATTCTTGTTGGAACAGCAGAAAACTGCTGGAATGAATGCTGTACAATTTCTGCAGATGGGAAAACAGGATCATGAAAGAAAGAAATTATAGCCTGAAGTTCAATGGATGGCTTACATTTATTTTTTATTACTTTTTAAAAATATGCTTTTATTGATTTCAGAGAGAGGAAGGGAGAGGGAGAGAGAGAGAAAGGCCACTGATGAGACGGAATCACCGACCAGCTGCCTCCTGCACGTCCCCCCCTGGGGGTCGAGCCTGAAGCCCAGGCAGGTGCCCTGACTGGGAACCTAACCATGACCTCCAGGTTCATGGGGCAACACTCAACCACTGAGCCACACCGGCCGGCCGGACGACTTACGCTGAATCTTCTAGGTTTAGCAGACGTGACGAACTCTGCAGAGGCATTTTCGGATCATCACTTTTGAGCACTAATCAGGGCCTGCTCTGCCTGCCCGGCGCCCGTGTTTATTGTAGCAGGTGAATCTGAGAAATGAAATGACCTCTCAGTGCACCAGCCAGCTACAGGCAAAATCAATAGTCCTGTGCCGGCGATGTTGCTTTATTGTTGACTCCTTAATCTCCTCTACTCGTTTGCAATTACTTTTATTATTACTGCTCATTTAATGAGACCCTGGAGTTCCAAGCCAGATGGTGTCGATAGTTAAATCTGGAAGATGCTGATGGGATTGGGTTCAGACCAGGTCAAGAGTAATGGACTTAGAAATCTTCGTGGTCATCGCCTCGAAGCACACCCTCTGGGTACCTTTTATACACCAGAAATTACTGCCGGCTCCAAAGAGAAAGACGTGGATTAAGGTTCAGAGAGATGAAGTATGTTCATTCATTCACTCATTTAACAAATATTTAATTCTGTTCCCACCTGGGTGTTGCAGTATTGTGTGCCCAGGACAGGCCTTTCTGAGGCCCAGCACAACACAGCTTCCTATGCGTGAATTCTAAAAATGCGAACACAGGACCTGCATGTCACACAAACGGTATTCGCTACAAAGTGTCTCTTCTTTTTAATGGCTGAGGAACTGCCTTGGGATTTTATAGCAGGTGAAAGTCATCAATATGCAAACACCTTCCTGTCCAAGAGAAGCACAAAAGTGCCCATTGGCAGGGGAGGTGGGTCCTTGCTGATTAAATGAACCCTCTTTGTAGTTATAATTTCCCGAAAGATCTTGACATAAACACGCTTTTCATAAACAGCCAACTTCAACTGCAAGGTCGTTAGGAGCAAGAGAGGGGATCTAAACCAACAACAGTCTAAAACGAAGTTTTGTTGAAAACTAGATTCACCCCCTCCCTCCAAAACTGGAATGAAAACAAAGAGAAATAAACTGTGCATGTGGGTGAACTGAAACTAGAGAAAAACAAACAGTGCACCCGGTCCCCGGGCCTCGTGTTGACGTTGCCATGGGCTAAAGTCCCAGGATGAGATTGCAGCTCCAAGAGTGGCCTCAGGCTGGCACCTTTTCACAGGCTGAACGCTGCCCGGGTAAATGTTCACCCTGGATCAATGGTCTCTGGTTAAGCTCCAGACTGCCCGGTCGGAGGGAGCGAGGGGGTGACACCCGATAAACAGCTGCTCTCAGGAGGAGGAGCGGGCCCCTGACACACAGAGACCCTCCCCCGGCTCCGAATGAAAACGATTTTCCCCGGCACGGAGAAGATGGTGCTGAAGACATTATTGGTCATGTTTGTCCTTGGAACGAGCAGCTGGTCCTGTGCAGGTAGGGGACTCAGCTCCACCGGATCTGGGGGAGGTGGCGGCCCGTGCCCCTGGCCTCACCGTGTCCCGCGTGCTTGCGTGTCCAGGGTTCCCGGTGTATGACTACGACCCGGCCTCGCTGCGGGCAGCCCTGGGCGCGTCGGTGGCAGACGTGAACGCTCGCTCCCTGAGCGCCTACCTGTTCCGGGCCTTCAGGAGCTCCGTAAAGAGGGTAAGCGCGCAGTGCCCCCTCCACGCCTCTTTCTACCGCTTTCTGCCTTTTTTCTTTGGTCAGTGTGTTGGGTACACTTTTTTTTCATTTTTCATTTTAAAATGATAATGGCTGGTCATCTCTTTCAGACGGTTTTTTGACAGAGAAGGGATTTAGTTACGATTCTGCCATAAGGCTCCCCAGCTCCTCAGGGGCCCGGGTCCTCCGACCTCCACCCTGCGCCTCGCTCTGGCCCCGTTCCCGGTTCCAGACGGTTCCTGCCGAGCATCCTGCCTTTGTAGCCCGTGTCCCCAGGGTGCCTCTTGAGACCCTTTATTAAGAACTGCTCCTTTATTAGAACCGAGGCCTTTTCAAGTCCAGCTGTTCTGCTTCTGACATTCACAGGAAATAAACTCTGGCTTTTGAGCTCACGAAATGCTTCCTTTACCAGCGTGGTAGTTGTGTTTCCTGTTAGCGTTGGGCGTCGGGAAAGATGGGTTTTCTCGGCCTTCCCGGGACTAAGTCTGTGATAGGCAAAGAGAGAGAGGCAGAGGTATCCCCCAAAGGGCATGAGGATCCTGGACAGCAAGTCACCTCCCCCTCCTGTCCCCGAGGATTTCATTCCTGTGCACAGGGGCAGAGATGCCCTCACGTTAGTTCAGGTGACGGTGGGGGCGGGCTGGGTCCTTCGAGCCACAGGCCGCGTGGGGCGTGGAGGGGCCCTCTGCCCGCGTCTCCCAGCCAGCTGCGGGCCACCTCCGCTCGCGCTTAGCTTGCTCCCTCTCTGACCGTGAGGAGCGTGTGGCTCATGGTTTCTTAGCTCCAGTCTCCAAATGCACCAAGCTCACCTTGACCCTTCCTCAGAAAACAGCTCCGTGTCCTGTTTCCAGGGCCCCGGGAAATGAATCGAATCATCCCAATCGGGCCAGAGGTCATGAAGATGACAGGCGATGCTTTAGTCAGGTGCGCAGCCCGGGGCCAGGCTGTCGTGGCCGGAGCGGGGCCCCTTGGCCTGGACACTGTGGTGTGGGACCATGTGAGACATGTGCAGCCAGCTGGCTGACACGCTGAGGGGCGAACCCATCCTGGAAGGGAGCTGGGCCGCCATAAAGAACCTCGCTCCTTNGGCTGTCGTGGCCGGAGCGGGGCCCCTTGGCCTGGACACTGTGGTGTGGGGACCATGTGAGACGCGTGCAGTCAGCTGGCTGACACGCTGAGGGGCGAACCCGTCCTGGAAGGGAGCTGGGCCGCCATAAAGAACCTCGCTCCTCGCACTGGCTCCGTTGGCTTCTGCCTTTTGCATTTCACGAGGCCCACGTGCGCTGTGGGGAATCGTCCGCCTGCCAGGCCCGCAGGTGAGCAGTTTAAATCTGCTTAAGTTTCAGTTTAGCTGGGCTCCCGACGGAAGAAAGTGAGTAGTTCATTGGAGAGGTCCTGAGAGAGCCCAGGACGGACACCACAGAAGCCTGGCGGGGGGACACTAGCCGGTGTGAGGCAGGGCCACGCGGGCACCTTCCGGCAAGTGACCGTCTTGGTACAGACACAGGCGGGTGCCTGCAAACACACACGCGCCCGCGTGCGGTCCTCAGTGAGCGCACAGAGATGCCGCCGTCCTATCTGGAAGCCTCCTCCTCTTGCCTCTCCGGCCTTTTCCGATTATTCAGATTCACTGCTCAGGCGACATTCCCTAGTGCCCCTTCCATGAAAACTTCTCGTGTCCACGAATGACTGCAAAATGACCCCAAGTATCGAAATGGGGAGTCATGAATAAGTTTGGCCAGTAGGCAAATTTGCGGAAGGTGAGAATCAGGAGGATTGGTTGTAAAGGTAAGTCGTCAGGCAGGACCCTTCCCTTGGGGTTGGGACACCGAGGGGCTGGTCTGTTTCCTCTGGGCAGTGCAGGGTCCCGGGCAAAGCGTCTCCCTGCTTTCAGCGAGAGGGCGTGGGAAGGTCACGGCTGAGATGCCTGACATTTTCCTGGTGGGTGATACTGTAGTGTTTTCCCGGCTGCTTTTCCTGGTGGATGATACTGTAGCGCTTTCCCGGCTGCTTTTCCTGGTGGATGACACTGTAGCGCTTTCCCGGCTGCTTTTCCTGGTGGATGACACTGTAGCGCTTTCCCGGCTGCTTTTCCTGGTGGATGACACTGTAGCGCTTTCCCGGCTGCTTTTCCTGGTGGATGACACTGTAGCGCTTTCCCGGCTGCTTTTCCTGGTGGATGACACTGTAGCGCTTTCCCGGCTACTTTTCCTGGTGGATGACACTGTAGCGCTTTCCCGGCTGTTTTTCCTGTAGTGCTTTCCCGGCTGTTTTTCCTGGTGGGTGATACTGTAGCGCTTTCCCGGCTGTTTTTCCTGGTGGATGATACTGTAGCGCTTTCCCAGCTGTTTTTCCTGGTGGGTGATACTGTAGCGCTTTCCCGGCTGTTTTTCCTGGTGGGTGATACTGTAGCGCTTTCCCGGCTGTTTTTCCTGGTGGATGATACTGTAGCGCTTTCCCAGCTGTTTTTCCTGGTGGATGATACTGTAGCGCTTTCCCAGCTGTTTTTCCTGGTGGGTGATACTGTAGCGCTTTCCCGGCTGTTTTTCCTGGTGGGTGATACTGTAGCGCTTTCCCGGCTGTTTTTCCTGGTGGATGATACTGTAGCGCTTTCCCAGCTGTTTTTCCTGGTGGATGATACTGTAGCGCTTTCCCAGCTGTTTTTCCTGGTGGGTGATACTGTAGCGCTTTCCCGGCTGTTTTTCCTGGTGGGTGATACTGTAGCGCTTTCCCGGCTGTTTTTCCTGGTGGATGATACTGTAGCGCTTTCCCAGCTGTTTTTCCTGGTGGGTGATACTGTAGCGCTTTCCCGGCTGTTTTTCCTGGTGGGTGATACTGTAGCGCTTTCCCGGCTGTTTTTCCTGGTGGATGATACTGTAGCGCTTTCCCAGCTGTTTTTCCTGGTGGGTGATACTGTAGCGCTTTCCCGGCTGTTTTTCCTGGTGGGTGATACTGTAGCGCTTTCCCGGCTGTTTTTCCTGGTGGATGATACTGTAGCGCTTTCCCGGCTACTTTTCCTGGTGGATGATACTGTAGCGCTTTCCTGGCTGTTTTTCCTGTAGTGCTTTCCCGGCTGTTTTTCCTGGTGGATGATACTGTAGCGCTTTCCCGGCTGTTTTTCCTGGTGGGTGATACTGTAGCGCTTTCCCGGCTGTTTTTCCTGGTGGATGATACTGTAGCGCTTTCCCGGCTGTTTTTCCCGGTGAATGATACTGTAGCGCTTTCTCAGATGGTACTGGAATGTTTTCTCATTGTGCCTGGAGAGACACTCTCACAATGTGAATTTCAGGACCACATCGATGGCACAGCCACACTGTTTCTGCGCAGGTCAGCGTCCTGGGTGAGGACAGCTTGAGCATGGATATAGAGTTCAGCATTCGAGAGACCACCTGCAAGAGGGACTCTGGGGCAGATCCCGCCACCTGTGACTTCCAAAGGGGCTACTACGTGGTAAGTGTGGTGGGACGGGCCACTCACCCTCCCAGAAACTGACACGAGGAAGCACCTCGTCTTCTTCCGTGACCTGGGGCCGCTTTGTTGTCACTCTGAGGGCGTGGCCTGCTGCCTGTTGTCCGGCCACACTGGGAGGCATTAAGTGTGCCCACGCTGTATGTTCCCTGGGTGGGGGCAGTGAGCCCAGTGGTCGAGGGCTTGAGCTCTGGAGTATGTGGTCCTGAATGATCCTGGCAAATTATTTAGTCCCTGCTGCCTCGGTTTCCTGATCTTTAAAATGGGGATATTGATGGTTCCAAGCAAAGTGAATACAAAGAGGCCAACTCCAAACAGATCCCAGAGACATTTCAGATTCTGCTTAAGATAATTTTGTAACGCGAACGGTGAGAGTCGCGTTCCTTTGCGGTGAACAGTTGTATACTCTCTCCCCCCCTCTGGCTCAGGCTGCACTGGGGATAAACATCAGGAGTAAATGTCAGTGACCATACATGGTCCCACCCCTGGTTCACCGCCGAGGGAGCACCACTGACCCAATGTTCGCCTTCCGAGGCGCTTGCGTTGAGATGTATGCGCTCTGGCCTGTTACGCTATCAGTTTATGTCGGGGTTGCTTCGTAGTGACGTAAAGTCTAAAAAAGAATCTTTTGTTTTATTATTTGTTTCATGAGACTTTTCGCCAGGGCTCTGTTTTACAAACGACCCAACCCCAAGTGTCACAGCATCTGTTAAGTGAAATCTGAGGCCCGTGGAGAGCCCTGGGCTCTTCTCGCTTCTTTCTGTTCACTTGGGAAAGTGAGCGCGGCCCCTCCGCGCTCGTGAGGGAGCGTCTGCGTTCCCGGGGCCCCTAATGTACCAGGCGCCTACGAGATAGATATTTCACTCTCTCCTTGGGTCTTGAGAAATTTCCCCTCTGGAAAAGCGAAAAGCCTCTGAGTTTTCCCTTTCTGCCCGCGTCCTCTTGTCCGGCCTTCCTGACCTCTCAGAGGGCTGAACCCTCTGCNTCTGCCCGCGTCCTCTTGTCCGGCCTTCCTGACCTCTCGGAGGGCCGAACCCTCTGCGAGCGGCTGGAGGTGCAGCTCATTGTTTCGCGTTTTGCAGCCCGCAGCCACCTGCAGGAGCACCGTGCGGATGTCAGCCAAGCAGGTGCAGGACGTGTGGGTCCGCTGCGGCTGGTCCTCCAGCTCCGAGTCGGACAGCAGTGAAGAGGTAGGCGCGGGGCTCGGCGTGCTCCAGGACAGCACCCCCTAGGGTCCGTGAGGGTCCANGGCGCGGGGCTTGGTGTGCTCCAGGGCAGCGCCCCCTAGGGTCCGTGAGGGTCCGTGACAGCGACACGGCTGTGCCAGTCGGAGCCTCGCCCAGGGTGGGCCAGCACAGCTCCGCCTGCTCAGCCGATTCTCCCTTACAGACCTACAGTCTCATTTTCAATGTCCCTACTTCCTCCAGCCCATTCTCTGTATCTGTACATCTATATCTATTTCTACCTCTCTAGTTCCCCAAGATTTGTGAAACAGAGCTTCAAGTAACAATTAGCAAATCTTCACAGTTTTAGACCTAAGTATGCTGCTCATGGTCCCATGGTTTAGTGGAACAAGAGGGACATTTTTGCTGGACCCAAGTTCAAAATTATTTCCAGCTCTGCAGCCTAGGGCGGGATACCCAACCCTCACGACCTGCAGCTCCTTCGCCGTAAGTGCAGGAGTAAGTGCCAGGAACAAAGGCCATCCGGTAGGTAGGCTGTGGACCGAACCCAGGTGTGCCTGGGAGGTGGGCCTGGCGCCCGGGTCATGGCGGGCGCGCAGCGAGTGGCGGGACACGCTTCCCCCTTCCGTCGCCCCGGAGTGGACTTGCCCGCTCCCTAACATAGTCTGTGAGGGCAGGAGCGTTCGCTTCTGTCAGTCCAGGGTGATGATCGATGGGGGGTGGACACTCAGCAAGCACCCACTGGACGAGCTTTTAAAGCTGAGGGAGAAGTGGCGAGGGTAAGGGTCTGCCTCTAACAGGATAAAAACAGCTGTCACGTCGTTTCTTCATAACGGGACAGTATTCTTGCCAGGCGTTTAAAACACATCTCTACCCGTATACAGCTGGTATTTTAGTTTATCTACTCGTGGACTGACATGGACAGAAACCCACGACTGGAGGGAGCAGAACACAGAGAGGGGGGCGGCGTGGGGGGAGGTCAGCCAGGTGAGGAGACGCCTCACTGGTCACGTCGGGCATCCCTGGCTGGCCCTCATGGCAGTGGGGCTGTTGAAAGGTTTAAGTAGGGCAGTGACAGGAGAGATGAAGAGTGGATAGGAACTACCTAAGAGTAGATGGGGCGAGGCAGGACAGGTGAGTGGGACAGGCTGGCAGGACAGGTGAGTGAGACGGGGCTGGCAGGACAGGTGAATGAGAACTCTGACTGGGGCTAGGAGTTAGTAGTGAATATTGAGAGATTCTAGTTCATTCTATGACCTTTGAGACAATTGGAATTAATTACTAATGGCCCTGTAAATCAGCTCCTCTCCATGTCTGGCTTGGGAAGCTGATTCTGGCTGTTCGGGCAACCCACAAGTCTTCCTCGCTACAGAGTGAGGGCCACTCACGATCGCCCCAATCCCACATTTTGTAAGAAGATGCTGACGTTAGGTTAGGTTGTCCCCTGAAACAAACACGATTTTCACATAAACTCTCAGGTTGTTTTTCCTCAAATATTAGGAGGTTGTAAAGAATTCTGAGAAAATTTTTAAAAAGAACCCCTTCAATTAAAGAATTCTGCAATTCAAAAGGAAGAGAGCAGGTGGAGTTTAATTCCTGGAAACCGAAATAGATTTCTTGGATGAAACAAAAAAATTAGAAAACAGCTGCGAACCGTTTTCAGTGGAATAAATGGTGACACTACCGACGCGAAAGATAAGAGACTGGATGGATTTAGACATGGAACAAACCAACCGCTGCTGGAAGCAGGAAACGCTTCCGACGGCCGGGCAGACTTGGATTTTTTTACAGCGTCTTTCCTTTTTCTCTCTTCCATGTGCTGATACATACTGGTGCCTACATTTATGTAGATGGTTTTTGGGGGTCTATTGGGATCCTCTACGTGGAGAAACAATTATCTATTTGGTAAGCTGAGATCTGTTCTTTTTTTAATGTTGGTTTTTTTTTCCTTGAAACAACTTCGTATGGAAACTTTCTCTTGGTGAGTCATTTAATACTAGACATGTCTATACCTACCCTTGGAACAACTGCAGTCGTTACAGAAGATAAACACTTGCCTTCATTTTGGTTCCCTTCTCCAGGCTAGGCAACAGCGATACAATGTTTCATTTAGGGGTCCCTTTATGTTTACACAGAGGTTTTCATGCATGACTTCATCTGATGGCCCCACATCTCTGTCCAATAGTCAAGGTGGATGCTGGTTCCCCTTGAGAGGGTCTATAAACTTGAACAGTTTGCTCAGCCCTCCTGGATGCATGACCTAAGCTATGGGGCCCAGGATGCAGTAACCTGTAGCCAGGAGGACCTGGACTGAAGCTCATCTACTGGGCGGCCTCCAGCTGCGTGACGAGGACGGACCACCCCTTTCCGAGCCTTGGTTGGGGGAGGGAGGCTCTCCTTTCTTTCCTTCTTGGGTGGCCCCTCGTTTGAAGTAGGATGGGTTAGTGTCCTGTGGCCGTTGTTATGTTCCTGAGGCTTTTTCCTGTTGGTGCTGATGGTGGCCAAACTCTTCGGTGATCTCCCACTTCCCCCTTGTTTAAGGGGCACGTCTGGGGCATCAATAATAAATTCACAGAATGTCCCAGAAGCGGCAAGTCCTCACGACTGTTGCTGTGTTCCAGGCCTCGTTCCCGACACACCCAGAAGTGAGCAGTTTCAGGAACGGTCACGCGGTAAGTGGTCCTGTCTTCCTCCCGAGGTCAGCAGACTGTTCTCATCAGGCCAGGCTGGGTGGGAGTCGTTTCACAGGAGATCAACCCCTGACGCACAAACTGTTTTAAGTGCAAGTGGAAAGAGAGCACAGTACCACATAACCTTGCTCTGCGCATCGCTCCAAAGGTAAACTTGAGGCAGTAAAAGCTCAGTTAAGTGCTACCAGGAGTTGAAACATCAAACCTGCTCGGGAGATCAGCACTGACCTTCTCTCCTGCCCCCTGTTGGGGCGTTTTCTGAACTAACCCAAATCTTTTCGATCTTCCCTTTGCCCTCTACTCTCAACAATAGTTTGTGATAAGCAGACAAAATAAACAGTATGTATTTTCTCACATTTACAGATCAGTTTTCTTATTTAATCTTTGTGATAGCTCAGTAAACCAGGTTATTTACCTGCTTATATAGAAGAAATGAGTAATAACTCATGATGTTAATTGTATACACAAAATTCTTACTCTGCCCTAATTGCTAGGCACAATTTTCTCCTTCAATTTCACCACCATCCTGTGGGGCGGCGCTGTGTTCGTTCCCATTTTGCTGATGAGCAAACTGAGGCTTAGTGAGTTTCTGTAACTTGCCCAAGGCTACGCTGCCATCATAAGACTTTGATCCAGTTCGCAAGTGGCAGAGAAAGGACTTTGATACAGACCTGCCTGATTCTGATGCCTGTTTTTATTTTTTTCCATGCTGCTTTCCAAAACAACTGTGAGATTCACGCTCTGTCCCAGAGCTCTCTATCGCAGTGATTAAAACACATACGAATATTTCATTGGATTCAGCCTCTGAGCCTCATTAGGCATGCTCCAATTTATTTGGACTGCTATGGCTTACAATCTGAGGCTTGATTTAAAAAAAAAAAAAAAATCCTAAGTTTTAGACCGTCTCCAAATTGTCACTTTGAAAGGATATACAGTTATTCCACCAGTGTGACCACCACTGAGAACATTTTTTCAACAACTTCTTTTGGAATTGCCTTCGTGGTTCATTTTTTTGAATTTCTGTCATGGTGGAAAATATTTGTTATTAGGCTTGATTTTGGAAATAGTCAAAAGACATTTGGAAATAAATCTGATTAATCAGATTAATAACCAATTGCTGTGTTGTCAAATTACCCCAAACTTAGCAGCTTGGAGCAATAATTGTCTATTCGCATCGTTTTCGAGGGTTGGGAACCCAGAAGCAGCTTAGCTGGGTGTGTCTGGCTGAGTCTGACAAAGTCACAGACAAGATGTTGACCAGGGAGGGCTGTGATTGTCATCCGAAGGCCTGCTTGGGGCCGAAGGGTTCACTTCCAAGGCTACTCACATGTTGGTTGGTGGGCCTCAGGTCTTCATGGGCTGTTGGACTGAGGGCTTCAGTTTCCCATGATATGGACCTTTCCACAGGGTTGTCTGAATATCTGCAAAATGTGACAGCTGGCTTCTCCCAAGAAAATGATGGGGGGGAGGGGGTGCCCAAGCTGCAGAGTACCCAGGACAGAGGCATCGTCTTTTGTGACCTAATTCCAGAAGTGATAGACCGTCATTTCTGCATATTTATTAATCACGCAGACCCACCCTGGTTCTGTGTGGGCAGGGAATGCCCAAGAGTGTGAACAGCAGGAGGCCGCCTTGGAGGTTGGCTAACACACTGGGGAAATGCCATTTGGGATAAGAAATATATGGATGTAAATGAATGTGACTGGAATTCCAGAGCCGAAATCTAACAACATCTCGGGCTTTGGGAGCTTCTCTGACACAGATGGGCCGCTCTCCCAGAGGCGGCTTTGACCATGACAGTTTAGTTCAATGCAGCAAATCTGTGTGACAAGCACTGGGCAGGCCCACAGGGGACCGAGGGAGAAATGTGACAGTCCGTGCCCTCGAGGGCTTGCCCTTGTGACTGAGACAGATCACATGAGGTGGGGAGAAATAAGCACTGGGTTCGAGAGAGCTTGACAAGAAAGACGAAGTTACAGGGTTCTGGGGGTAGTGTGGGTTCCGGTTATGCTCTGCACGGCCCTTCTCATTACTTCATTGTCGCCTGGTCGGCGTCGGCTAACCCTCGGTGTGAGTGACAGAGCCTCTGCCCTTCTCTCTCCAGAGATCATGAGAAGGGCCTTCCCGCCTGGAAACAGAAGGCACCCAAGCCAGTGGCCCAGAGCGAGAGCAAACACTGGCCTCGAGTAGCAGCCTTGAGGTAAGAGAACAGGGTAAAACCTGTGTGTTTGGAAACAGAGGGAAAGCCTTCGCCTGAGCGCCCG